GAATATATAACTGATACTCTACGACGAAGGCCTTATATGTGACCGTGCCACCAATATGTACTCTCTCTCTCTCTTTCTCTCTTTCTCTCTATATATATATATATACAGTATATATATATATATATATACCAAGAGCTAGTAATAAATTATGTATATTACATATGGATGTTATATACACAATGTATTATTAGCACTATATATATATATATGTATATATATATATATTATATATTATGTATACAGTCAGAACCTGTATGTGGGTTATTCAAGCATCCAAGTGTCCTTTCTAGACAGGTGTCCGTTTTATAGAGTTGGTTTCACTCTTTAACTGCCATTCAAGGGCACTCCCCTTTGCTTTATAGAGCGTTTGGTCTATAGAGCGAGATAGTCAACATTGAGACAGGATTGACTGCATATGTATGTGTGTGTATGTCTTATATCAGGGGGTGAATAGTGACAAATGTCATTGAAAATTTGAAATGAAAAAATTTGAAATGTTTTTCAAATGTAGTTTGTCATTATTCAGCTCTGCTTGTATGTACGTATACATATACCTACGTACATGCGCACGTACATACGTCACCGGTAACGTACGCTTGGCTACGCTGGGGAGACCGACGGACCTGCACGTGCTCCACACACACAGCAGGTTTAGCAGGTTGAGCATGCCTGGCCGTACGCTGCAGTGATTCTACTGATTGCATCTCGTGGTGCAGGCTGGTGTGCATCTCTGGGTGCATCTTGGGGGGTGCAGGCTGGTGTGCATCTTGGGGTGCAAGCCAAGTTGCATCTTGGGGTGCAAGCCAAGTTGCATCTTGGGGTGCATGTCATGGTGCAGGCTGGTGTGCATCTAGGGATGTGCAGGGAACAGATGCTGCGATGGTGTGAGGTGATTAATCGGAAGCTTACTCAGCTCCACATCATCTCTCCATCCTCCAACGTCTACAGCCGCCTGCCCTGGATGGAGGCGCCCTCTCCTGGTGAATCCCCCGAACCAGCCGGCTCGCCCGAACTTCCCAACGGCAGTTATGTGGACATGGGTGGCGCTAGTGTAGCCGCCGCTGTAGCCGGGACTTCGGGGGAGGGTGGCACGGCAAATAGCGTGAGTGGAGGTTGATTTTACGAGTAATTTTGTTTCGTGATGGATCAGTATAGTTAGAGCGTTTGTTTTGGCAAAGAGGTGTTTTGGGTTCGAGTGAATACCCAAACAGATGAATTTTGTAAAGGTTACATTAAACACGGGTTTATCTGTCATTTCGTTTATTAATATCTATTCTTAAAAATCTTATGAATGAAATTAATTATTAAATAGAAATATTTAAAAAATTTCAATCTAAAAATAATTAGTCTAATTAAAGTATTTTTATATTATATGAAGTAAATAAAAAAATAAAAAAATAGAAATTAACTACAATAACAACTTTCATTATATCTACAGGATGTCGATTTAGTAAAGAATTCGCCTAGATGTCACATCTATGGCTAAATTCTTCCCTGCATCTTCAATTAACACATTAAACAATTAATAATTCTTCATTCGTCTTCATCCTCATCGTAATTTTTCCCCCTTTCTCTCCTCCGTCCAGGAGCAGCGGGAGAAAACCGACTTCGGACAGGAATGTGGCGCCATCTACGAGAGCATCGATGACATTCGTGACGACGATGACGCCAGCGAGGGTCGCGCGGCGGCGGCGGGGGACGACGGCTGCTGCCCTCCCTCTGTACAACAGCCAGCAGCAGCAACAGCGGCGGCGGAGTCCATATACGAGGAGATATTCGACACGCCCCCCAGCTGGTCGCGCGCCGACCGCCCTGCTAGCAGCGCGGAGTACGTGAACGTGCCTGCAGGGGCGCCACCGTCGGTTGACCGGCAGCAGATAGAGAGCGTTCTCAGCGACCTCGATGACATCATCGCCGACTACGATTACGACGATGAGGATGACGAGGATGCGGTCGCCACGGCGACGACGACGACGCTGGAGGCAACGGTAGACTCGGACGAATCAGGCGCGTCGCACGGAGAATCCGCGAAGGTGGCGCCGTCTGGTTTGAACTTGGCGCTATCTAGTGGCGGAAACAGTCCAGCAGCGGCGCGGAACTCGCGGCGAGCAGAGGCGGCGCCCCCTGGCGGAAAGCGCCAAGCGGACGCGCCGAGTAAGAAGCTGCGGAGCGTGGCGCCACCTGATGCCGACGCGGACGTTTCTGCGAGGGGCGGAGTAGCGGCGGAGGTGCTGTCACCTACTGGGAGCAGTCCGGCGAGCGTGCGGAGTCTGAGTCGCGACGACGGGGCGGCGTCGCCGCGGCGAGGAGATGCTGCGGAAGATGCTGCGGAGCAGGAGGAGGAGGCGACGTATGAAGCCCTCACGAGCTTCGTCTCCGCGGCAACGCCGCATTCTCTGCATCCTTCGCACGACCACGCCCTGCCGCCTCGCAAGACGTCGTGTCCGCCCGACCCCGCGGGCTGCGGTGGCGGCACCGTGCGGTCATTGGGAGCCGCGCTACCGCCGCCAGTGCCCACCAGGGGGCCCGAGTCCCTGTCGCTACATCACCGACTGAACTCACAACCGTTGCTCACCGACGGAGGAGGAGGAGGAGGAGGAGGAGGAGGAGAGGCTCGACGGCCGCTGAGGAGCTATTCTCTACCGATGATTGCCAATCCCAGCAGCACGTCGAACGACTCTAGTCCCAACGGAAGCATCGGTACGTAAATGATGTGCATGTGTGTGTATGTGCGTGCGTGCGTGTATGTGTATGTATGCATGCTTGCTGTAGGCTCGGCGGGTAGACATGTACAGTTTCTGAGGGAGAATGCGCTGAGTGCGTGCCGTGCGTGCGTGTATGTGTATCTAATGCATGCCTTGCTCTAGGCCTCGGCGGGCCAGACACGTACCAGTTTCTGAGGGCAGGTGTGTGCCGCTTGCGTGCGCGTAGCGTGCGTGTATGTTAATGTATGCATGCTTGCTGTAGGTCCGGCGGCAGACACGTACAGAATTCTGAGGGAGCGGCGGTGCGTGCCGTACATGATGTGCGTGCGGCGTTGGGTGTATGTATGATGTATGTGAATGCATGCTTGCTTAGGCTCGGCGGCAAGACACGTACAAGTTCCGCAGGGAGGCTGCGTGCGTGGAGTGCGTGCGTGCGTAGCGTTGGCGTGCGTGCCGTAGCCGTTGCGTTAGCGTCGCTGGCGTGTATGTGTATGTATGGGTGCTGCTGTAGGCTCGGCGGCCAGACACGTACAGTTTCCTGAGGGAGGTGTCGTGCGCTGCCTGCCGTGCGTGCGTGCGTGCTCGCGTGCGTGTATGTGTAGTATCGCGGCTTGCTGTAGCTCGGCTGGGCTAGCACACGTACAAGTTCCTGAGGAGGCTGTGTGCGTGCGTGCCAGTGCAGTCGCGTGCGCTGCGTGTAGATGTGTATTGTATGCGTGCTTGCTTGGTAGGCTCGGCGGGCGAGACACGTAAGTTCCTGAGGGAGGTGTGTGCGTGCGGTGTGCTGTGACCGTGGCGTGCGTGCGTGCGTGCGTGCGTGCGTGTATGTGTATTTAATCGTGCCTTGGCTGTAGGACGTCGGCGGCCAGACACGTAACAGCTTCCTGAGCGGAGCATGCGTGAAGTGCCGTGCCGTCGCGTCGCGTGCGTGCGTGCGTGTATGTGTATGTATGCGTGCTTGCTGGCAGGCTCGGCGGGCAGACACGTACAGTTCCTGAGGGAGGCGCGTGCGTGCTGTGCGTTGCGTGCGTGCGTGCGTGCGTTTGCGTTGCGTGCGTGTATGTGTATGTATTGCGTGCTTGCTGTAGGCTCTGCGGGCAGACATGTACAGTTCCTGAGGGAGATGGCTGAGTGGCGTGGGCGTGCGTGCGTGCAGTGCGTGCGTGCGTGCGTGCGTGCGTGCGTGCGTGCGTGCGTGCGTTATGTGTATCTATGCATGCTTGCTCTAAGCTCGGCGGGCAGACACGTACATGTTCCTGAGGGAGGTGTGTGCTCGTTTCATAGTTTCTGTGCGTGCGTGCTAGCGTGCGTGTATGTGTATGTATGCGTGCTTGCTGCAGGCATCGGCGGACAGACCGTACAGTTTCCTGAGGGAGGCGCGTGCGTGCGTGCGTGCGGGGGGTGCGTGCCGTGCGTGTATGTGTATTGTATGCGTGCTTGCTGCAGGCTCGGCGGTCAAACACGTACAGTTTCTGAGGAGGTGTGTGCGCGTGCGTGCGTGCGTGCGTGCGTGCGAGCGTGTATGTGTATCTATGCATGCTTGCTCTAGGCTCGGCGGGCAGACACGTACAGCTTCTGAGGGAGGTGTGTGCGTGCGTCGCGTGAGTGCGTGTATGTGTATCTATTGCTATGCTTTATCTAGGTTCGGCAGGCAGACACGATACAGTTCCTGAGGTGAGGTTCGGTGCCGTGCGTGCGTGCGTGCGTGTATGTGTATGTATGCATGCTTGCTGTACATAGGTTCGGCAGGCAGACACGTTCAGTTCCTGAGGGAGTTCAAGTCGCTCAGTGCTGGCAGGAGAGATACGACATCCACACGGGGTCAAGCTCAAGGTCAGGCGCTCCGACGCCAAGCCAAACCATCGCGTTCGTCGAACTGCTAGGCGCGATCTGGTGAGTAAATGTCGCATACGCATGATTTGCTCGGACTTACTACTCTATGTATATATGTCCATGATGTATGTTCATAAATTAGAAGTTAAAAACACGCGGATATAAAAATAGAACGAGTTAAATGTCAAATTTTAATTTAAACGAAATTTTGCATGTCAAATGCTTTCATAATGCAGGAGTCCCAGTGTCAACTAGTGGGATTCGTTGAGAAGGGCATTGCTTTCATTAGATTTGCGCGATTAGCGTTTTTGCTCTTTATTTTCCTGATGTTGACCTCTGGTTCCTCTCACTCTGCGGTATATGACTGTCTCCGTGTGCGCAGGATTGCTGGCTGGAGGCAGAGGCAGTGCCCGCAGCTGCACAAGCGTTTCACATCGGCGACAGACTAGTGCTGATCAAACGCATGCGGGCAAGCCTTCAGGATGTACAGCGCGCGTTGAAACGAATACCTGACGATGCGGTGAGTGCTATAACCTGTGCTTACCTGTGAGTGTTACCATCCTCTCTGTCTGGCTCTCTCTGGCTCTCTCTCTCTCTCTGGCTCTCTTTCTCTGGCTCTCTCTGGCTCTCTCTGTCTCGCTCTCTCTGGCTTTCTCTGGCTCTCTCTCTATCTGTCTCGCTTTCTCTGGCTCTTTCTGGCTCTCTCTCTCTCTGTCTCGCTCTCTCTGGCTCTCTCTCTCTCTCTCTCTCTGTCTCGCACTCTCTGGCTCTCTCTGGCTCTCTCTCTCTCTCTCTCTCTCCTCTGGCTCTCTCATCTGGCTCCTCTCTATCTGGCTCTCTCCTATCTGGCTCTCTCTCTCTCTGGCTCTTTCTGGCCTCTCTCTCTCTCTCTCTCTCTGGCTCTCTCTCTCTCTCCCTCTCTGTCTCGCACTCTCTGACTCTCTCTCTATCTGTCTCGCTCTCTCTGGCTCTCTCTCTCTCTCTCTGTCTCGCTCTTTCTGGCTCTCTCTCTCTCTGTCTCGCTCTCTCTGGCTCTCTCTCTCTCTCTCTCTCTCTCTCTCTCTCTCTCTCTCTCTTCTCTCTCCTCCTCTCTCTCTCTCTCTCTCTCTCTCCTCTTTCTTTCTCTCTCTCTCTCTCTCTTGTATATACATATATTAAGTATATATGTGTACATGGTTAGGTAATTGCTCATCACTTATGATTTTTGAGCTTGTCATACAGATGGTGCCTCAATGGCTTGCCTAAAATATATATATATATATATATATTATTATATATATATGTAGTATATTTGTACGCACGTATGATAAGCACAATACATCATAATTTACAGGTGGATCTGGTAGTACAGCGTGTGCCTCATGGTCTGCCCATTGCCATCGTGCGCACAGTGAGCGGGGAGGAGCTAGGAATCGTGCGCTCGGACACAAACAGAGCTGAGGTAGGGGGCGCCACAACCACGCAGCGCGCTCGCTCACTCGCATGGAAATATTCGATTTAAACTAGTTTTGTTATTTCATGAAGTTTTTTTGTTTGCTTGTTGGTTCGTTGGCTTGGATGGAAATATTTGATTTAAAATATAGTTTTGCTAAGTTTTAATTGTTTATATAGTTGAGATACAGTCATGATGTGGCTATCTCGCAGTTCGCTTGTTGGCCCTGACGGAAATTTAATTTAAATTGTAATGAAATTTTATGTAAATAGCCATGGTACAGTCACATTTTGATATCTCATCTTGCTTTTTGGCCCTTACATTAGTATTTAATTTCAAACTAAATTGAAATTCTGTTTAAATGGTCGATGTGAACGTGCACACACATACACCCACATGCAGTAACCGTCTGCGTTGTGTGTTACAGATCACGGAGGTGGTGTCCGGGGGGCTGGCGCATCGTCACGGCCTTCCCGGCCACACGGTGGCGCCGGTGAGCGGCACGGTCGCGCGCTGGGTTCTCACGGAGATCAACCATCGACCGCTCAACCTCTTCTTCAAGGGAGACGAGGTGAGCCTGCTGACGATGCGCGCTAACGATGCATTAACGATGTGTATGCTAACGATGCGTTAACGATGTGTATGCTAACGATGCGTTAACGATGCGAGCTAACGACGCATTAGCGATGTGTATGCTAACGATGCATTAACGATGGCCGCTAACGATGCATTAACGATGCGAGCTAACGACACATTAACGATGGCTGCTAAGGATGCTAACGATGCACGCTAACGACGCATTAACGATGCACGCTAACGACGCATTAACGATGCACGCTAACGACGCATTAACGATGCACGCTAACGACGCAGATTAAACGATGCAAGCTAACAATGCGACTAAGCGATCGCCACGCTAACGATGTGTATGCTAACCATGCGTGCTAACCAGGGCATTGAATAACCCACGTGGCACCGACGCAATTGCGCCGTGCCTCGTAGGTCATTCGCCCGTACTGCCCCTTCGAAATCGCAACCGACCGGATCGCAGTAACCTGCCTTGCGTCTTTTCTTAATCTGCCGTCGGCGCCTCTGGCTAGACTGGTTCGCGCCGACCAACTGGCTTTGTTGCAGAGTGATGTACATTGTCTAGCAGAGCGTGAGCGATACCATCTACTCTTCCAGCAAAACAATTACCGCGCTTGCTGCGAACCCGCTGTGCCCAGTAGACTATCGATCAAATCGCGCGCTGTTGTATGGTGCCTCGATGGTAGATACACAAATCTTTAAATGCTGCACGTGAACTCGCCTGCGCGCCGATTTAAAAGCGCGGTGAACGACGCTCGCTACCAAATGCTCAGCCTGTGATCTGTAGTCTGGACGGTGTGTACTTCTAAGTGCGAGTATTTTAGAGTCAATTTTAAGTAGAATTCATACGAGTTGACACAAACGTTTATTCATAAAGATTGTCCTGGGGTCTGGCTAGGTGAAGGTTAGGTCAGATGCTTAGTGATTTTCCTTGCGTTACTTAGCTTCGATGGTCTACGGTGGAATAAATTACTGTTGAACCCTGTTACTGTACTTCCATTAGCAGAGGGGGATACAGGAGCGCGTCAGTGTTGACGGTTGTATAGCTTACATTGGGCGAAGACGATGTACATTGTGGGCGGGAACCGGTCTGTCACATACACGTAAAAAACAAAAAAATTAATGTACATAATTATGTATCAGTGGTTCGGTGTCCACAGTCATTCATTATTGAGTTAGGAATACATATATAAAATTGGTTTAAGCCAATGTTATCACTGCGTTGTATTTACATAGTAGCCGGCTAGCAGTCCTAGATGAATTATTTATTTCCAAGAAAAAGATTTGCCCTGATCGTGCTGAAAACATCTTTAAAGTTAGATCTAAGTCAAAATAGCCATGTCGAAATTATGTTAAACGGGCCTACTTATTTTCGTACTTAAGCAAAGACGATCGTTGATCGTGTTAATTTGTTATAGTTTTCCTTTATTTACAAAGTGCCTTGTTTCGCCTTCCTCCAATTGTGAGAGTTGCCTTGAAGCCTTTAAAATGCCTCGGTGCCCATCATTTTCAGAGAAAATTCAAGGCAATTTCTCACATCCCCCCCCAAAAATTGCCCATTTCCCACTCTGTCGCTTAATTTGAGCCTGGCTAATGATCGCATATATGCTATATGCTCGCGCGCGTAATACGTGATGTGCATGCTCAAACGTATCGCCGCGAATGGTGTGCCATAAAGTCCGGTAGTTTAGGTGAAATACGATGCACCCGGAAAAAAATGTATAAAGATGAATTTTTGCACCAGCTAGCAGATGTGTCATAAGAAGCAACATATCCAAAATCCGCCAAAAATCCGCTTCGGGAAAAATCTGCTTTTTACACATTTTTTTCCAAGTCAAAATGCTCTAATCTACCCGACTATAAGAGAAAAACAAGTCAGTCAATGATAAAAAGTGATTCTAATGTTGAGACTAATTCTGTTTCGGTTAACTGTCTATGATCAAAGTTAATGTTAATTAACACTAATGTTGAACGTAATTTTGTTTCTGACACGCGACTGCTGCGCTTTGTTTCAGATTGAAGCACGATTGAACGCGGTGGAAAGGACATTTCCATCCTCCGTCAGCCCTGAAGACTTCATCTCTCACTCTATAAGAAGAAGCTGCGAGCCCTCAAACATTACAAGCAGTTCCTTATAACGTGAAGAAGCGATTACACCTTACAAGCGGTTCTTTATACAGTGAGGCTATCAAACATACAAGACAGTTTTTCATCAGTGAGACTCTATTAAACATTACACACGGAGTTTTTAATACGAATAAGCTAAGGAGATCATGGCGTTTTAATCGTCACCATGACTAAGTTTCTCTACAGTGAAGCTGTCAGTCCAATCACCACAAGCAAGAGTTATATAACTGGTCAATAAATTACATATAGTAGTTTCTCAGGTGAAACTGCAAAAAGTTTTGCCAATCCAATTCGACCCACATCCGTCTTGGCCAATGATATCCTTTCCACACCTTTCCACCTTGGATGTTGTCAGGTCGGTGCCTGTTTGTAGTTATGTGTAGAAACGTGCGCACGTGCCGAAGTCTAACTTTTGCGGCGAATTCGGTGCAATCATTGTCGTTAAACGTCCTATCGCGGATGGTGATTGCTATGTGCTGCGTGACAGTGACGATGGATGATTGGTCAATTACAATGAGGATTTCTACGCTCCCTGCTGTGAAGGGCGAGCGTAGCTTATTGTGCTTCATGATACTACTCATGCATTTATTCCCTGTGTGCCCATATAGATATCTACTATATATATATATATAATATATATATATTATGGTTATACTTTACATTAAAAGACGTGTGTTTAAACTGTGTGTTGTTTGTGTGTGGTGTGCTGCGGTGCTTGCGTGCTTGCGTGCTTGCGTGCGTGCGTGTGTGTGTGTGTGTATGTGAGGGGGGTTGTAATTTTGCTATTCGTGTTTAACTGGTTGTCCGTTTCGTAGGCACACTGAGATTTGCAGGAATCGTCGTCTTATTTTAATATGTATTTTATCATTCGTGCGATCGTTACATAAATACGATGTATACTGTAGCATTCGATGTACGTGACGCAAATTGTTCGTGGCCCGACCAAAAATCCTGTAGCTATTACTCGAAATAGCATGATTGACGCGTTTTTCTATGTACGAGATGTTGATACTCGAATATATAACTGATACTCTACGACGAAGGCCCTTATATGTGACCGTGGCACCAATATGTACTCTCCTCTCTCTTCTCTCTCTTCTCTCTCTCTATACATATATATATATACTTACAGTATAATATATATATATATATACCAAGAGCTAGTAATAAATTATGTATATTACATATGGATGTTATATACACAATGTATTATTACACTATATATATATTATATTGTATATATATATATTATATATATTTTATATCAGTCAGACCTGTTAGTGGGTATTCAGCATCCAAGTGTCCTTCTAGACAGTGTCCGTTTTATAGAGTTGGTTTCACTCTTACACTGCATTCAGGCACTCGCCTTTGCTTATAGAGCGTTTGGTCTATAGAGCGAGATAGTCAACATTGAACAGGATTGACTGCATATGTATGTGTGTGTATGTCTTTATTCAGGGGGTGAATAGTGACAATGTCATTGAAAATTTGAAATGAAAAAATTTGAAATGTTTTTCAAAATGTAGTTTGTCATTATTCAGCTCTGCTTGTATGTACGTATACATATACCTACGTACATGCGCACGTACATGTATTACGTCACCGGTAACGTACGCTTGGCACGCTGGGAGACCCGACGGACCTGCACGTGCTCCACACACACCAGCAGGTTTAGCAAGGTTGAGCATGCCTGGCCGTACGCTGCAGTGATTCTACTGATTGCATCTCGTGTGCAGGCTGGTGTGCATCTCTGGGTGCATCTTGGGGTGCCAGGCTGGTGTGCACTTGGGGTGCAAGCCAAGTTGCATCTTGTGCAACCAAGTTGCATCTTGGTGCATGTCATGGTGCAGGCTGTGTGCATCTTGGGGTGCAAGCCAAGGTGCATCTAGGGGTGCATGTCATGGTGCAGGCTGGTGTGCATCTAGGGGTGCAAGCCAAGGTGCATCTAGGGGTGCATGTCATGGTGCAGGCTGGTGTGCATCTAGGGGTGCAAGCCAAGGTGCATCTCATCTCATGGTGCAGGCCGGGGGTGCCGAGGGTGGGGTGTAGGATGTTATCTGGAGTGTCATAATATAGGTCTATATTAATAGATCTATATTTAACATATCTAACGTACTATATGACACTCCTCGCGTTATCACTTGTACGTGTGCCTCACCACGGTGTGGCAAAAAAAACCGAGGCCTTTATCTGCTGGGAATCGCAGCGTTTTTCCGTTTTGTTCGGAATTCGTTGCTTTCCATTGTTGTACGTCGATGTCGATCGTATTCCGTTATTACCGACTGATCACATTGTATATAGACAGGCCCGTAGCCAGGGGGGGTTCGGGGGGTTCGAACGAGACCCCCCCCCGCCCCTCCCCCCCCAAGCCAAAAAAAAAAATTTGTTGAAAATTTGCAAGAATTTCACCTCAGGTCGCTCCATTTTAGTGTAATAATTGCAAAATCTCCATCCGTGCGAGGTGACAGTGAACACCCCCCTCCCCACCCTCCCCCGCTCGTACTTGGCTCCCTCGCCTGGTCGCTTCGCGCCCGAGCAGGGCGTGTACAGGGGGGTCCCAGGGAAGTCCAGACCCCCCCTGCTCGCGCAGAAAACGCATCTGAGGGGTGAACTTTTAAAAAATTAAGACCCGCCCCCTTCCGCGTGCTCTAACTTTGTGTTTACGGTTACCCCCCCCCCCCCTGTACAAATCCTGTACACGCCCCTGCCGAGCAAATTGCTAACATTGAAAAACGAACCCCCCCCCCCCCCAACATAAAGCTGGCTACGGCCTGTATAGAGAGAGAGAGTGAGAGAGAGAGAGAGAGAGAGAGAGAGAGAGAGAGAGAGAGAGAGAGAGACAGTGCGAACAAGAGAGAGAGAAAAAGAGGGGAGGGGACAGAGGAGAGAGAGAGACTTGCATTCCCGTGCGTGTGTACAACTTCCATTAACACTCAATATTACATTAATCATCATTAAATACATTATCGTGACATCGTGTGTGCCTCCGCGGGCTATCTATAGCTGTTCTACGAGAAACGGTTGCCAACGAGAAAGTTGTGAAAAAGTTGTGAAAAAGTGTGAGAACACGATATTTTTACATCTGGCAGGCAAACCTACGCTCGTATCGAGTGTCTGATTTAAGACTGTCCGTCAGGCAAAATGTGCCGCGCCAGTTACGTAGCGATGGCGACTGGTCAGTGAAGTTTGACTGACCGAGGAATGCATCGCTGTTACGTTGACACATGTGTAGATGTGTCAACGGTTTGCCAATCCTTCTATAGAAATCAAGAAACTAGCGACGTAGTTGTGAATGTGCTTTACAGCGTAGATTAACGTTGAGGATATTTCCTCGTAATAATGGTAGTAGCCGTAGGTGTATGTATATATATATATATATATGTATATATATATATACACATATATATATACATGTTTATATATATACATTTGTGCGTGTGTTAAGCCATCTGTGATTTCAACGTTCAACATCAAAGTTGACTTGCCTGTACGATGAACATTATAAAAGTTTATAATAAACATTATATTTAATTGTAGAAGAGCGTTATGCATATGGATCTGTCGTATACAGCTGTCAGCTGTAACAGCTATATATCGTGTGAACTATAGCTGTAATATCCTGCTACAGACAAGTTCCTGGAACATAATCCCACTATCAACTGATTACCTTCACGCGTAACTCACTGGAAACGCACCTTCTTAACGAATTTATACGTACTACTGCTGCTGCTCCCCTGTTTCCCATAACCCCCCGCCAGCCTCCCCTCTGGCTGGTTTCCCTGTTTTCCAAAACCCCCTGCTGGCCTCCCTTCTGGCAGGCTTCCCTGTTTCCTGAATCTCCCTGCAGGCCTTTCTGCTGGTTGGCTTCCCTGCTTCTCACAACCCCCTGTTGGCCTCCTTTCTAGTTGGCTTTCCTGTTTGATGTTTTCATTGCATAGAGTGCCACCTGTGGTGGAAGAGGGACTATCTAAAACACATGACTGCTCCTGGCTGCCTCCGTCCTGGCTTTCTCTTTCTCCTGCTCCTCCTTCTACTTCTCCTTCTCCTTCGCCTTCTCCTTTGCTATCATCCTGAAACAAGTCAAGTAGAGAGCATGTTGGAACTTAGAGAAACCGCTTACAAAAGACATGATAGTAATTTATAGTTTATACATACACGTATACACATACACACAAGTTTCTTTATATATATATATATATATATATTACATGTTGTATACCAGTAGCTCTTGTTCCAGTTGAGTCCACAACTGTTGTTGTGGTTGTTCGTACTGTTGCTGTTGCTGCTGTTGTTGCCATTGCTGATGTTGCTGCTGTTGTCGTGGCTGTTGCTGCTGTTGTCGTGGCTGTTGCTGCCATCGCTGTTGTTGCTGCTGCTGTTTTACCGAGGCCTGCTTGTATGGGTGTTGCTGTTGTTGATGATGGGGACGCTGCAACTGTTGCTGCCAGAGCACTTGCTGCAGTTGCTGTTGCTGTGCCTTCAGAGCGATGCAGTAGTCTTCTAGCTCTGCATCCATGCACTCATCCAACTCTGCTTTCAACCTGCAGTCACATGCCAAACCAATAATATATATATACAGTATATATATATATATATATATATATATATATATATACGACGACCTACGTACGTACGTTACGTTACGGTTTTACGGGTTACGGGGGGTCCGGTACCGTACTTCTACGTGGTCGACACTACGTTAGGACGGCGACGACGCGCCGTCGAGACGGACGGAGGAGAA